ATGCTTCCTGAGCATTGGGCACAAGTAGTAGAAAACAACGGCAACTATATTGTTGATTAAATTTTGTTGTATTGTTTAAATAAATTCGATTTAAAAAAAGTATTAGAAAACGACATTAATTATTATTAGACCTAATAACTGGATTACTTTAAATAAAATTTATCTCAAAAAGTAATTAGAGCTCAGTCAATGTGGCTCAGTGGCTAAGTATTGACCTATGAAGTAGGAGGTCACAGTTTGATTCCCAGTCAGGGAAAATGCCTGGGTTGTGGGCTTGATACCCAGTTGTAGAAGGCAGCCGACGAAAGATTCTCTCTCATTATTGATGTTTCTATCTCTCTATTCCTCTCCATTCCCGTTTGAGATCAATAAAAATCTATATACATAAAACTCTAAGTGACTGAACTATCGAATGACCAATTGACTGGATGCTATGGCGTGCACTGACCACCAATGGCAGATGCTCAATGCAGGAACTGCCCCTGGTGGTCAGTGCACTCCTCTTACAGCCAACCTCCCGTGGCTGGCCAACCTCCTGCAGTCCCTCCCTCCATCAGCCCCAATCACCAGCCAGGTTGAGGGACCCCACCTGTGTATGAATTCATGCACCAGGCCTCTAGTATATTATAAAAGTAAAGTAGAGCAGAGGCATCAGTAAAAATGTCAGAGTAAGGGTCTCTAAAATTCTCTCCTAGACAAAAGCAATGAGAAAATAGACATAATAACCAGAATCCAAATGTTCAGTTAATTGGAAGTTAATTAAATATGGAAGTTAATTAAAGACTGGCAGCAATCAGGGGAATGCTTATTCAAGAAAAAAGACAAAATTGCCCTGGCTGGTGTGGCTCAGTTGGTTTGGCATTGTCTTGTGCACCAAAGGGTGGTGGGTTCAATTCCCAGTCAGGGCACATAATCAAATTTTGGGTTTGATCCCTGGTCAGGTTGTGTGTAATTGAACCCTCCCTCCCCCCGCCTCTCTCTCTTTCTCTTTCCCTCCCTCTCTCTCTAAAATCAATAAATTTTTTTTTTCCTCAGGTGAAAATTAAAAAATATATATCTCAGTAAGAATAGTGAGCTTTGTAGTACTATTTTAAATTGCTCTAATCCCATTTCACAGTCTCCAGCTCCACATAGCCTTCAGAAATAATAGCTAGCATTTTTGGTGAAGACCCATAAGCCTAGCTGCTACCAGAGAGATCAGAATAAGCTTGGTCTTTCACAGTGTTATTCCTAACAGTCTATGATGTCAGTATTACCATGATATTAAAATCAAAGACATCACATGAACAGAAAATAAAAAATATCCCTTATAAATACAGATGCAAAAATCTTCAAAAAATACTAGCAAACCAAATCTTGTAGTTTATAAAAATGATTATATACCATGATCTAGTGAGATTTACCCCAGGAATGCAACATATGAAAAAAAAAAATCAATGAGATATACCATATTAATGAATAAAGGATTGGAAACCATGAAATTATCTTTTTTCTTTTTTAAAAAAATATATTTTATTGATTTTGTACAGAGAGGAAGGGAGAGAGATAGAGAGCTAGAAACATCGATGAAAGAGAGAGTCATCCACCAGTTGCCTCTTGCACACCCCCTAATGGGGATGTGCCCGCAATCAAGGTACATGCCCTTGACCGGAATCGAACCCGGGACCTTTCAGTCCCCAAGCCGACGCTCTATCCATTGAGCCAAACCAGTCTCGGCTGAAACCATGAAATTATCTTAATAGACACAGAAATATCATTTGACAAAATCTAACACCATTCCAAGAAAAACTTAAAACACCATAGGAAAACCCACAACTAATATTATACTTAATGCTGAAAAATTGAAAGCTATCCCAAAGATCAAGACAAGATAAGAATGTTCACTCTCACCACTTCTATTCCACATCATACTGGTAGTTCTAGCCACAGCAATTAGGCAAGAAAAATAAAAGGCATCCAGATTGTACAGGAAAAACATAAAACTATATATGCAAAGGCTACAAAAAATTAGGGATTATAAACAAGTTCCAAAAGATGGAAGGATACAAGATCAGTACACAAAAGTCAGTTTTATTTCTATATATAGCAATGAACAATAATTTTTTTTTTTTTAAAGAAAACAGTTCCACCCTAGCCAGTTTGGCTCAGTGGATAGAGTGTTGGCCTGAAGACCAAAGGGTCCTGGGTTCGATTACGGTCAAGGGCACATACCTTGGTTGCAGGCTCCTCCCTGGCTAGGACTCTGGTAGGGGCTCGTGCAGGAGGCAACCAATGGATGTGTTTCTTTCACACTGATATTTCTATCTTTCCTTCTCTCTTCCACTCTCCCTAAAAATCAATGGAAAAATATCTTCAGGTGAGGATCAACAACAACAACGAAGTAATAATAATAATAAAAAAATAGTTCCACCTACAATAGTAGTAAAAAAAAATACTTAGAACTAAATTTAACCAAATAAATGCACAACTTGCCCAGTGGTATGGCTCAACGGTTGAGTATCAACCTATGAATCATGTGGCGTAGTTCAATTCCCAGGTCAGGACAGGGTACGTGCAGGGGTTGCAACCTCAATCCCCAGTAAGGGGCATGGAGGAGGCAGTGATCAATGATTCTCTGTCATCATTGATGTTTCTATCTCTCTCTAACACACCATAAAAATAAAAAAAAGTGCAAGACTTGTGCACTGAAAATTACAAGACCATCACTGAAATAAATTAAAGACCTAACTAAATGGAAAGACATTTTGCATTCATGGATAGGAAGGCTTAATATTGTTAAAAAGACAATACTACCTAAAGTGATCTACAGATTCAATGTAATCTCTATAAAAATTCCAACTGCAATTTTTGCAGAAATAAATAAGCAGATCCTAAAATTCATATGAAAATACAAGGGATCAGAACAGATAATATAATCTGGGTGGAAAATAGTTGGAGCCAAACACCACAATTTCAAAACTAAAACAAAAGGTATAGCAATTAGGATGGTGTGTTGTTCCCATAAAGATGGCATATAGAACAATGGAATGGAATTAAGAGGCCAGAAATAAACCTATACATCTATGGTAATCTGATTTTTGAAAAGGGTGCTAAGAAAATTCAATAGGGAAAGAACAGTATTTAAGCAAATGGTGCTGGGACAATCAGATATCCATATGCAAACAAATGAATAGAGATCCCCCTCCCTCATACCATATTCAAACACAAAAATGGAAAAAAAAGAACTAAATGTAAGAGCTGAAACTATAAAACTCTTAGGGGGAAAAAAGGTCTAAATCTTTGTGATCTTGAATTAGGCAATGCTTTCTTGGTTATGCTAAAGCTCAAGCAACAACAACAAAAAGTAGAAAAAATATTGGATAAGTCTGAGGTATACAGAATACATAAAGAATTCTTATGAATCAAGAATAAAAAGACAAATAACCCAATTTTAAAATGAGCAAGTAATTTGAATAGACATTTCACCGAAGGAGATAAATAAATAGCCAATAGGCACTTGAAAAGATGTTCAACATTACTTGTCATTAATGAATGGAAAGTGAAAAGCAGTAAGAGGATTCACTTTACACCCACTAGGATGGCTATTAATAAAAAAGATGGGCAATAACAAGTGCTATAAAGGATGTGGAAAAGTTAGGCCCTTATACATTGCTGATAGAAATGTAAAAGGATATAACTAGTTTGGAGAAAAGTTTGATAGTTTCACGAAGTGGTAAATATAGATATAACATGACTCAGTAATTCCACTCATTCATATATACCCAAGAGAAATGCAAACGTATGTTCATACAAAAATTTGTACACAGGTATTCACAGCATCATTATTCATTATAACCCCAAAGTGGAAACTTCCCAAATGTCCATCAATAGATGTATGGTAAACAAAACGTAGTATGTATACAATGCAGTTTGTTTTAGCCAAAAAAAAAAAAAAGAATGAAGTATTAATACATGTCTCAATGTACAACACTGAAGACCCTTGAAAACATTATGCCAACAGAAAGAAGCCAGCCATAGCCCTAGTTGGGTAGCTTATTTGGGTGGAGCATTGTCCCATTTGCAGGTTTGATTTCCAATCAGGGCTCATACCTAGATTGCCAGTTTGATCCCTGGGGTGTGTACAGGAGGCAACAGATTGATGTCTCTCTCTCTCTCTCTCAAATCAATAAAAACATGTCCTCAAATGAGAATTAAAGAAAAAAAAGAAGCCAGCCATAAAAGGTCACACATATTTTATGATTCCATTTATATGAAACTAGATGCCTAATGCACAAAATTTGTGCACAGGGTCGGGGATGGGGGACCTTCAGCCCAGCCTACACCCTCTCCAACCTGGGATCCCTCTCACAATCCAGGACTGCTGGCTCCCAATTGCTTGCCTGCCTTTCTGATTGCCCCTAACCGCTTCTTCCTACCAGCCTGATCACTCCCACTCCCTAACTACTCTACTCCCATGCCAGCCTGATTGATGCCTAACTGCTCCCCTGCCAGCCTGACTGCCCCCAACTTTTCTCCTCTGCCGGCCTGGTTACCTCTAACTGCCCTCCCCTGCAGAGTTAATCACCTGCAAACTGCCCTCCCGTGGAGTCCTGGTGCCTCCCAATTGCCCTCCCCTGCTGGCCATCTTGTGTCTACATGGGGGTAGGATCTTTGACCACATGGGGGCAGCCATCTTGTGTGTTGGAGTGATGGTCAATCTGCATATTACTCTTTTATTAGATAGGATGTCTAGAATAAGCCAATCTGTAAAGGCAGTCAGTCAGTAGTTGGCAGGGGCTACAGGAATGACTGCTAATAGATGTGATATTTCTTTTTGGGGGAGATGAAAATATTTCAATATAGACAGTGGCAGTGATTGCATAACTTTGAAAAAATATCAAAAAACCACTGACCGCTCTTTAAATGATCAATTTTGTTATGTGAATTAAAACTTAGTAAAGTTGTTAATTAATAAAAATAAAAGCAGCACCATAAGTATACTTTTCTAACTTAAAACTTACATTTTCTGTGAGGCTCATGTTTTCTTTGCTGACATTTAACATTATTGTCATTTAAGCCAGATTTATGATGTTGAATTACTTGACTTGATTCTTGAGGTAGAACTGCACCCTGAAAGTTAAAATTCATATAAATGATTTAAAGAAACTTTTATTATTATAACTACTTCTTTTCTTCAATGTTTAATAAATAATAATTTTTAAATTAGAATTATATATCTCTAGAAAACAAATTAAGGAATGCAGAAAAGTATAGAGAATTTTAAAAAACACTCAAACCCACCATCTAGAAATAACCATTTTAACATAATGATTATCATTCCTTATGTTTCTCTATGTATTACTTAGCAAGATACATAGAAAATTATCATTTACAATAATGGTGTTTTCAACAGAAAAAAATAAATGTAGTTTTTCTTGAAGTTAACACAGAAACTAAAGAAATAAACTTTAGGTGTTTCTTCTAAGCAGAAATAGCACCCTCTAAAGACCTTCTAGATTTGCTTCAGAATCTTCCTCTCTCCGGGTGGTGGTGGTGGTGGGGGGTGGGAAATAAATAGGTGTTATAGAACATGTGCAAGGTTAAATAGGTGTTATAGAACATGTGCAAGGTAAGGATGGGTATCTGTTGTTCATTATACTATACTCTTGTCTTGATTATGTTAAAAATTTCCATCAAAAACTTTTGGAAAATTCATCATTTCTACCTCTGATATTGAAAGCTGAGAATATTAGTCCTTCATCCCTTTCCCCAAGACCTGATTTTTATTAACTAATACTTATATTGTCAAGGTTTTCAAATGATGGAAGACTATGACCAGATAGCAAGAGTGACTATAAAGCTACAATAATTAGGCAGTACAGGATGGACAGAATTAGCAAAATGGCCTAAATTTTGTTTAATGATCAGATTAGATCACTTTGTTTTTCTGATAGGAAAAGAACACCTGAAGGCGAAAAAGACATAATTTCCACAGTTGAAGAGGAAAAGGAAGCAAAAGCAGATGTTCAATACAAATTTATCATTTTACATTTAAAAAAATATCCTTACCTGAAGATATATTATACATATTGATTTTAGAGAGAGGAAGAGAGGGAGAGTAGAGAGAAGGGGGGGGAGAGAGAAGAGAGAGAGAGAGAGCGGGAGAAAGAAGGAAGAAGAGAGAGAGAGAGAGAGAGAGAGAGAGAGAGAGAGAGAGAGAGAGAGAGAGAGAGAGAGATATGAAGGAGGAGGAGGAGGAGGAGGAAGAGAAGGAGGAGGAGGAGGAGAGGGAAAAAGGGAAGGGAAGGGAAGAGAAAGGAAGGGAAGGGAAGGGAAAAAGGGAAGAGAAAGGAAGGGAAGGGAAGCTTAAGTATGTAACCTTTCAGTGTATGAGACAACATTCCAACAAACTGAGCCACACCAGCCAGGGCTATCACTTCACAATATTGCTTTTGGTGGGCCCTATTTATTTTTTCTGAGCGTAGACAAATAATGAACACTGGGTACAAAGGCATATCATATCCTACTTGGCAGTAGGCTCAAAAATAGTTGTGATATGCACCATAGTGTGTAGGAAGATCCAATGAGCTCATATGCATATAACACTCAGGGCACTTTAGTCTTTAAGAATCAAAAGGGCCAAGAGATTTCTATTTGCATGGCACAGTGGTTGGTGGAGTACATTATGAGAGATTTGACTCTAAGAACATCAAGATCAATAAACTGGTAAGAACAAATATTGTGTTAATGTCTATTATGCTCCAGGAGTAGTAAGATGTACTTTGCATCCATTACCTTAATTTCATTACAACAATACTATGATAATAAACATGCTTTGGTTTATTTTGATTCCATTGAATAGATGACTAAATTGAGGCTCAAAGTGATAAAGTAATTTAGTTACAGTACTAAATAATAGGAGAACTGAAATTTTAGTTCTAACTCTAAAACTCAAGTTCACAGTACCATTTCAGAGAAAAAGTGTGTCATAAGTTTAATTAGGAAGAAAACATTCTTTTTTAGAGGGAAGAAGGAGCGTAGAGAGGGAGGGGAGGGGGGAAAGAACGTTTTTTGAGTTGTTCTATTTACATAAAGTTATTTGTTAGTCATATTTTCATATTTTGCCAATAAAGACTTGGATTTTTTTTAAGACTTTTTTTTTTTTTTTTAAAGAGCAGTTTTAGGTTCACAACAAAATTGCCCCCTGCCATCACACATTCATAGCCTCATCATTATCAAAATACCCCATGAGAGGGGTATACTAGTATTTGTCACAACTGATGAATCTACATTGACACATCACCCACTGTCCATAATTTACACTGGGTTTACTCTTGGTTTTGTACATTCTATGGTTAGGACAAATGTATAATGACAAATATTCACTATTACAGTATAGATGAAAAAGGTTCTGTAATAAATCTAACTGAAAGTAATCTCACAGGGTGATCTGATCATAAATTTCTAATTGGGAAAGTTATGGTGGGTAAGTCAAGCCTCAGGCCTATAACTTCTCTAATAAAAGGTTATTTTTGCCTTAAGCAAGCCCCGTCAATTTTTTCTGTGCATCTAGATTGATATAGCTTTAAAATGTCTTTTTCAGATTCCTCAGAAGGGTAACCATCCTCAAGACCACACATAACCTTGTTATCCTGTAACTAATCACTGCTGTTTCTCTTCCTTGCTTTCTTCTAGATCCATTTATCTTTCATATGTTCTTTTCCTAATTCCAAATGAGAAAACACACTGCAAACTCTCATTTTGGGGAGCATCTGAGATCTTGCTTCCTGGCAGTATGTCAACATTGGTGAAATAAACTCATAAAAATTCTTTACAGTTATAGACGTGTCTCTTATGTCATCAATGACAACAGTATCACACCGAGCATTTTTCAGTGCCCTAAAAATCTTCAGTGCACTTATTCCTCCCTCTCTCCCTAACCTTGGAAATCAATGACCTGCTTTTTTTTTTCTTTTATATTTTTATTTATTTCATAGAGATAGAAACATCAATGATAAGAGAAAATCACTGATTCATTGCTTCCTGCATGCCCCCTACTGGGGATCGAGCTCACAACCTGGCATGTGTCCAGGCCGAGAATTAAACTGTGACCTCCTGGTTCATAGATCAATGCTCAGCCACTGAGCCATGCCAGCTGGGAAGCCACTGATCTTTTTAATGTCTCTATAGTTTTGCCTTTTCCAGAAGCTTAACTTCTATTTTATTGGGAGTTTTTTAGAATTTGCTCATTGGATGAATATCAGGCTGCTTTTTAATGCTTCATGGATATATGTGTTGTATGTGATTGCTCAGAATTCTTGGAACACACAGCATATCAAACACTGGTGTATTAAACTGATATCAATATAATAAAGAGGTAATATGCAAATTGGTCCTAAAAGCGTCACAGTAATGACCAATTTGCATATTAATAGGCCAGCAGGAGGCTGCATGTGCAGGAGGCTGCACAAGGAGCAGGGGGACTTTCTGTGTACTGAGCGCTCACTGCAGCAGGAGGCAGGCCTGTGTCCTGGGTGCCCGTGGCAGTGGGAGTCAGGCCTGGGTTAATGAGTGCCATTAAGGCCTTTGTTAAATTTAGACTACGGTTATTAGGATTTTCTAAACAACTAAAAAATAATCCAAAAGTAATCTATACTAATAAAAGCCTTTGAGGTGATCAGGCCAGCAGGAAAGGGCAGTTGGAGGCAATCAAGCTGGCAGAGGAGCAGTTAGGCATCAATCAGGTCGGCCGGGGAGTGGTTAGGGGGCGATCAGGCTGACAGGCAGAAGAGGTTAGAGCCAGTGGTTCCAGATTGTGAGAGGGATATCTGACTGCAGTTGGACATCCCCCAAAAAGTCCCAGATTAGAGAAGGTGCAGTGCACTTGACCACTAATTTAAAATAAAAATTGTCTATATTTTAAGTCATTGATCAAAAAAATTTTATATACAACTGAATGGAAGTATGCAAATTCATGATCAAAACTGTTATGTCTATTTTATGATTTTTCAGAAAAAAATTAATCATTGCATGCCTGAGAAAGAAATATAAAAGTTTTTGGAGTTAAATGTCTATCAGTGAAGGTATACTAACCTCTTGTAGAGTTGGCTGAAATTGCTGAACCTTTCTGGATCCCTGTAAGGACTGCCAAATGTTGCAAAATTCATCATCATCTTTAGTAGGTATCTGGCAAAGCACAACAAATTTCTTAAGCAACTGACACATGAAGAAATAGAGATTCATATTAAAAATAAAATTTATTAATTAAAGTTATTTATCATGAGAGGATATTTAATTTTCATTATCTGAAATCTCAATTCTTTTTCTAGAGCTCAGTATAATTGTAATGGTATTCTACTAGTGAAAATGGCTTTCTTCATATGTAATTGTTTTGGTTTCATTGAAAGCATTTAAAACATAATAAATATTATAAAAATTATACTAAATCAATATAACCTCAACAACAGATTCTTTTTGTCTTCCAATGCACTGATATATTATCTCACTTAAGGTAATATCTAATGATTTAATTTAAAATTTTTCATCTTACACAAAAGTAATCTATTAGATTAAAAATTCTTTACTACTCATGGGGAACTGATTTCATACAGATTAAAACTCTCTGGGATGCTGACTCAATTCCCAGTGGGAGTGAGGGAGTACAGGAGGCAGCCAATCAATGATTCTCTCTCATCATTGATGTTTCTTTCTCTCTCTCCCTCTCCCTTTTTGAAATCAATAAAAATGTATTAAAAAAAAAACCCTGCAAAAATATGTACCAAAATTTTAATAGTAGTTATCTATGAACTTTGAGAGGATTTTTGCTTTGTTTCCTTTGTTATTATCTACTTTTACGTATTTTCTAATTAGTCCATATAATAAACATGTATTATTTGGATTAAAAAGTGTGCTAAGATTTGTGGTCATGGAATTAAATAGAGGTAAGTGTCTCATACAAAACAATTCAATTTTTGCCCCAAGGAAGATGAAATAAAGGAAATTACCATGAGTTACATGGTGGGAACTTGAAAATTGTTTTTCAGAAAGAAGATATAGTCCTCTTTCTTCTACCTTTCAAATTAATGTCATTTTATAGCAGATATAGAAAATTTGTATATAATAAAAAAATTTAAATATTAGTTTGAAAGCAAATATAGAGAAAAGAGACATTTTCAAGATTATTTTAAAAATACATGTCTTTCTTCTTTAATGTAACTGTAATTTTAGAACAGACAGAATGATATCAATACCATTCTCTACTAGCCTATGAGTTTAAAACAAAACCAGAAATGAGTGAAACAAAAACTTTTTTAAAAACTCAAGTCAATTTAGGTCTCTATATAGAGTGTGCTTATAATTTGTAAAGGGGGTAGAGAAAAATTACAGAAAGTCTTTACTTGTGTAGAAACAAAAAGAGATTGAGAGGAATGGTTCAAGCCCGCCAAATGGCCAGATGATACTGATGAATTCAAGCTATAGTGATTCACTGCTGGCTGTGGTTTCACAATGGCTGTCAACTTCTGATTTCCAGTTTCAGAGCGACTCCCATGAGAAAGGTTCACCAAGGCACTTGTTGGCAGTCGATATCCCCTACCAGGTGAGGACCTAAAAGTAAAAATTTACTTCAGAACCAGGGTAAAATAATGTGCTAGGAAGAAGCACATAATATTTGAATGGATTGTCCATAATCTGAATCAATAAATATTACTTTTAAACTCAGTAGAGAAAGTTGAAATCATAGAAAAATCTCAGTTTATAAGATGATGCATTTCTAAAGATTTTCCAAATAGACAATTCAGTGCTAGTAAAGGGGATAAGGACTGTTCTAGAGGTGTAGTTGTATGTGCAGAGGTGTGTGTATGTATTAGTGTGCACTCAGAGCCTACAACATGATAGCTGAGAATGACTACAAGTTTATGAGTTAAATGTCAAACTTCTTAAAAAAACTGTGGTTTGTACAGTGTGGGTCAGGAAATCTAGGGAGCTAGGCAAGAAAGAAGCCATTTTTGTTATGGCTCTATCTATGCAACAGGGCAAATGTTAGCTTTTATCACATTTGCCTTCTGATCAATTGTTAAGTCCAGCCTCCTTTTATCCTCATCTTTCCATCTTAAAGTTCTGGATCTGAAAGAATTGAGAGTAAATATTGATAATTTCCTTCCTTTATGACCTTAATAAAAGGGTTAAGATATTAAAACAAGCCTTTTCTTATCAAAAGTTTTCAACCCTATATCCTGCTTTTTTCTAATACAATTTTCTTTCAATACAAGATCATGAAGAAGTAGATTTATTTTTGAGAAATCTTTGAAAAATCTGTAAAAAATGTTTTTGTGAGAACTATCCTTAAAGAGTCTGCGCTACAGAAATGAATATACTTCAGGCAGATAATCTTTTACACAGTTCTCTATCAGTCAAAAAATCTACTGCCTCTACCTAGGAGAGAAAAAAATATGGAGAGAAAAGTTAATCATCATAAAAATAAATTTTCAAAGTTATTGGGCTGAGGTCTTTGGGTAGCAGGCACATTCAAATTGATAAACAACAGCAGCAGCATTCCAGAGGAAATCCTTTGGTATAAGAACAGAAGACTGGGATTTTATGCAAAAGGCTATCAAGGGTAATCATTATTTTTTTAATTACTAATCAAAATAGAAGAGGGGAAAAACTAAACAAAATTAAGTTCAGTTTTTCAGTCAGTTTTTAGGAGAAAGGAAAACTGGAAAAGATTTCATTTAATCATCACAATAACCTAGTGAAGTATAGCTTCATTATACATGAGGAAATTGAGGGTCAGAATGCTTTTAACAAATCTACTCAAGGAGACTGAAAGGTAAGTGAGAGATCCTACACTTTCTAATATACCATGGTGCCTCTCATTCTGTCATGATCTTTTTCCAGAACTTTAAACTTTATTTCTATTAATTTTGAATAATAATAACAGACTTGAATAAGTCTCACCCACGTTAAATTAAAATAATCCAATTACCAGAAGAAAGCTGGGAAAACCACAAATATGTGGAAGGTAAGCAACATGCTATTGAACAACCATTAGATAAAAGAAGGAATAAAAGGAGAGATAAATGAAAATGATATTATGGCACCAAAATTTTTAGGATGCAGCCAAGTTGTACTAAGCAGTTTAGCCCTAGCCAGTTTTTCTCAGTGGATAGAGCATCAGCCTACAGATCAAAGGGTCCTAGGTTCAATTCTGATCAAGAGCATGTGCCTTGGTTGCAGGCTCCTCCCCAGCCTGGGCTCTGTATGGGAGCCCGTGCAGGAGGCAACCAATTGATGTGTTTCTCTCACATTGATGTTTCTTTCTGTCTTTCCCTCTCTCATCCACTCTCTTTAAAAATATCCTTAGGGAGACACCAAGATGGCGGCATAGGGTAGACACCCGAATGCAGCCTACCACAACAAATTTGAAGTTAGAACTGAAAAACAGGGGAAGCATTGCCCTGAAGTGCCGGACGGCTAGCTGAGAGGGGACGGCTAGCTGAGAGGAGGCTCTGCCATCTGGGAAGGCGAGAGAAGGCACGCTGAACCTCAGGAACTGTGAAGGTACGGAGAACTGTGTGCGCGAGGAGAGGAAGGGCCAGACAGAGATTGCGGCTGACTTACTCCTGGCGCGCAGAGAGGGCGGGCCGGGCTGAGTTCGCTACTGGCTTACTCCCGGTGCGCGGAGAGGGCGGACAGCTAACACGCAACTGGCTTTCTTGTTCAAGAGGAAAACAGAATCAGCCTATTGCTTTGATAGACGGCCCCAGACAGGGAGAGGCCAGACTGTCAGGCAGTGGGCAGAGATCTCTCAGAGGTGTGTGAAGCCAGAGGCCATTACTGCGGGACTTGGGGAGGAGCCCAAGGGAAAACAGTTTGTCTGCACCAACCTGAGACTCCGTCCAATCTCTGGCTGAGCACAGAAGCTCTCCCAGAGGCTGGCTTTCTCTAAGAAGGGACTGGCAGGAATCCAAAGCTTGTCTGTGCCTTTACCAAAGAGGTGCGCGCGCCTGCAACCAATCTTCCGAAACTCTCCGAGAACAGGTCTTTTCTAAGACTGACAGGGAACCAAAGATTGTCTGCGCCACCCCGAGACCCCGCCCTATCCAAGCGGAGTACAGAAGCCCTCCTAGCTGAGACTCTGCTGATCCTCACAGCCAATTGGCTTGGAGATCAAAGCTTCCCAGTGATACTAACAATAAGCAAGGCTTAACAACAAGACTGCACACACAGCCCACAAAGGGCTACACCAAGACTGTCCACTGCAGGTAACTGGGAAGGCTGTGCTACTGGGCTCTACCAGAACATCTAGAACACAAAGCTATTCCATCAAATTAGGGAAACAACTAAAATGCAGACAAGAGGAAGGAGACAAAGGAAGGAGATGGAGGAAAAGAAAAGATCGGACATTGAGTTCAAAACTACAGTTGTAAGGTTATTCAACAATATCCTAAAAAAGGCCGATAAAATAAATGAGACCTATGAGGATATGAAAAGGGAGCAATTAGAAATAATAAGGGATCAACAAGAAATGAAGAAAGCATTGTCTGAAATAAAAAATATTATACAAAGTCCTAAAAACAGACTGGAAGATCACAAGAATCAAGACAAAGATTTAGAACACGAAGAGCCAGAGGACACTCCCCTGCAGAAGGGAGAAGATAAGAGAATCCAGGAAGTTGAAGATAGTGTAAGAAACCTCTGGGACAATTTCAAGCGAAACAACATCAGAATTATGGGGATTCCAGAAGAAGAGAGAGAGCAAGATACAGAAAGAATAATGAAAGAAATAGTGACAGAAAACTTCCCTTACCTGGGGGAAGAAATAGACTTACAAATCCAGGAAGCCCGCAGAACCCCAAACAAAAGGAATCCAAGGAGGACCACACCAAGACAAGCTGTTCCTCCCCCCCCCCCTTTTTTTTAAAATTCCAAGAGCAAAAGACAAAGAGAGAATATTAAAAGCAGCAAGAGAAAAGCAGGTAGTGACCTATAAAGGAACACCCATACGATTGTCAGCTGATTTCTCAACAGAAACCATGCAGGCCAGAAGGGAATGGCAAGAAATATTCAAGGTGATGAATAGCAAGAACCTACAGCCAAAAATAATCTACCCAGCAAAGCTATCACTCAGAATCAAAGGACAGTTAAAGAGCTTCACAAATAAAAAAAAGCTAAAAGAGTTCATCACTGCCGAACCAGAATTATATGAATTGCTGAAGGAGGTTATTTAGGAAGAGGAAGAAGATAAAGATAAAAATTATGATCAACAAATACGTAACTATCAACAAGTGAATCTAAAAACCAAGGGAATTAAAAAAATCTGATGAACAATATTAACTGGTGAATATAATAGAATCAGAGGTATGGAAGGGGAGTGGACTGACGATTCTCGGGGAAAAGGGGAGTGAGGGTGCAGGAAGAGACTGAACAAAAACTGTGCACCTATGGATGAGGACAATGGGGGATGGGGATGAGGACAATGGGGGATGGGGAACCTGGTGGAGGGGAGCAATTGAGGGGGGGAAGGGATCACATTTGTAATAATCTGAACAATAAAGATTTATTAAAAAAAATATCCTTAGGAGAAGATTAAGAGATTAAAAAAAAAAGGGGGGGGGGGAGGAACAGCTTGAAGTATTATATAGGTCTACCTTAAGAAACAAGAAAATCTCAAATAAATAATATTACACCTTAAGGAACTAGAAAATGGACAAATAAAGTCCAAAGTCAGTATAAGGAAGGAAATTAAAAAATCAGAGCAGAAATAAGTGAAAGAGAGAACAAAAGATAACAGAAAAAATTAGCGAAACAAAGAGCTGGTTCTCTGAAAAGAAATAAAATTCACAAAACTCTGATTAGACTCAATAAGAAAGAGCCAAATAAAACCAGAAATGAAAGATGTTACAATGAATATCAAAGAAATATGAAAAATTATATAAGAATACAAGACTATATGATACCAAATTCAATACCTGGAAGAAAATTTTCTTAGAAATATATATCCTTCCCAGATTGAACAATGAAGAACTGGAAAACCTAAACAGACCAATTACTAGTAACGAAATTGAAATAATCATTTAAAAACCTCTCAAAAAACAGAAGTCCAGGACCAGATGGACATAAATTAAAAGATTTAATACATATCCTTCTCAACCTATCCTATATAATAAAAGGCTAATATGCAAATTGTCACCTTGGGAGTTCAATCAACTGGGAGTTTGCTTGCTAAGACATGGGCTGACCACTAGGGGCAGCACAGAAGTAAGGAAAGCCCTGGCAGGCAGCAGGAAGACCCTGATGGGCTTTGATCTCTGGACATTTCATGCACTGGGGCCCTACGTCTAAAATATTGAAGTAAAGGGAATACTTGCTAATCCAGTTTATGAGGCAAACATAATCCTGATACCAAAATAGGCAAAGACAACACAAAAAAAGGAAAACTACAGGCCAATACCTCTGATAAATATAGATGCAAAAATCCTAAAAAAAAATACCAGCAAATGAATGCAACAGTACATTAAAAGCATAATATATTATGATCCAGTTGGGGTTCATTCAAAGGATGCAAGGATAGCTCAACATATGCAAATCAAACATTGTGATGCACATTAACAAAAGATAAAAATCATATATCAATTGATACAGAAAAAGCTTTTGACAAGATACAACATCCATTTATAATTAAAACTCTCAATACAATTAATATAGAAGTACCTCAACAAAACAAAGGCATATATGACAAACCCACATCATACTTGATGAAAAAATGAAAACTTTTCCTATAAGGTCAGGAAAAAAACAAGGATGTCCAAACTCACCATTATTCAAAATAGTATGGCAGAGAAAATCAAGCAAGAGAAAGAAATAAAAGGCATCCAAATTGGGAATGAGGAAGTAAAATTGTCAGTATCTACAAATAACATGATTCTATAGAAAACCATAGATTCCACTAAGACTATTAGAAACAATAAACAAATACAGTAAAGTTGTAGGATACAAAGTCAAATACAAAAATTCATAGTGTTCTAATATACAAAAATAGTAAAAGAAAAAAAAAACACCAAAACCCACCATTTACAATTGCAACAAAAAATCCACCTAGGAATAAATTTAACAAAGGAAATGAAAAAGCTCAACACTGAAAAATATAAGACATTGAAAGAAATTGAAGACACAAAGAAATGGAAAAATATTCTGTGTTCATGGATTGGAAGAATTAACATTGTTAAAATGGTCATATAACCTAAAGCAATATATAGATTTAACGTAAACACCATTAAAATCTCAATGGCATTTTTCACAGAAATAGAACAAAAAATTCTCTAATTTGTATGGAACCATGAAAGACCCCAAAGAGCCAAAGCAATCCTGGGGAAAAAACAAAGCCAGAGGTATCACACTCCCTGAGTTCAAACTATATTACAAAGCCACAGTAATCAAAACAGTATGGTGTTGGCAGAAAAAGTCAAATACACAGACTGGTGGAACAAAACTGTTAGCCCAAAATAAACCTGCACATATATGGGTCACTAATTTTTGGCAAAGGAGCCAAAAGCATACAATGGAGAAAGAAAAGCTTCTTCAATAAATGGTGTTGGAAAAACTAGAAGCCACATGCAAAAGAATATGACATCATACCCAAAAATTAACTCAAAATGGATTAAAGACTTGATCTTAAGACCTGAAACAAAGTACACAAAAGAAAACATAGGTAATACACATTGGTCCAAAGGGGTTTTTGTGAACTTGATTCTAAAGGCAAGGGAAGTAAAAGCAAAATATAAATGAACTAGAGGCCCGGTCATGAAAATTCATGCACTGGAGGGGGCAGGGGGTCCTCCAGCCCAGCCTGCCCCGTCTCACAGTCTGGAAGCCCTCAGGGGCGGGAGAAACCTGGTGATCAGGAAAAGGTGATGTCCCATCACACCTCTGCTGCTGCTGTAAGCCTTGGTCGGACCTGGTAACCTGAGCCTTGGATGGCCCTGGGCGGCTGGGCAGCAGCCACCTGAGGCTTTCCTGTGCCTGGGGCTGGCCCTAAGCGACTAGGGGGTGCTGAAGAGACAGGGCACTGCCATCTTGTGGCTGTAGGCATCACCATATTTGAGGTTGTGGCAGTCAATTAGCATATTTCCTCCTTACTGGCTGTGGGCGCAACCATCTTTGTGATGGCGTAAGGGTCAATTAGCATATTCCCTCTTTATTAGGTAGGATGGAACTACATCAAACTAAAAGCTTCTACACAGCAAAAGAATCATCAAAAAAACAAAAAGGCAACAAATCGAAAGGGAGAAGATATCTGTAAACAAGCCTCTGAAAAGGGAGGAGTTAATATCCAAAATATATAAAGAACTCATACAACAAATCTGATTTAAAAATGGGCAGAGACATATATAGTCACTTTCCAAGGAAGACAAATAGATGGGCCAAGAGACACATGAAAAGATGTTTAACACCACTAGTTATTAGGAAAATGAAAATCAAAACCACAATAAGATGCTACCTCTCATCTGTTAGAATGGCTATTAATAGGACAAGATATAGCTAAGTGTTGGAGGGATTGTGGAGAAAAGATAAACTGCTGATTGGACTGTAAATTGGTGTAGCCACTATGAAAAACAGTACACAGGTTCCCCCCCTCCAAATTAAAAACAGAGCTACCACATGGCCCAACACTCTCTCATCTGGCTATATACATGAAAAATTTGAAAACTGTTTCACAAAGATTTATGTATTCCTATGTTCATTACAGTATTATTCAAAATAGCCATAACCTAAGTGTCCTTTGACCAATGACTGAATAAAGAAATGGCTATAACTACTCGGCCATAAAAAAGAAAAATATCTCCATTTGTGACACCATGGATAGATCTTGAGATTATCATACTAAGTGAAATAAGCCTCACAGAAATGCACAAGAACCATATGATTCCTCTCATATGTGGATATAAAAAGAGCAACAAAAGAACAAACAACATATAGTCACCAGTATGGTGATTACCAGAGGAAGGGGGACAAGGGCAGGTAGAAGAGGGCAAAGAGGGGATAAATGGTGATGGAAGGAGACCAGACTTTGGCTAAAGACACACAACACAATATACAAAGGATGTATCATAGAACTGTGCTTGAAATGTAATTAATAAGTTACATTAGTAATCAATGTAACTCTAATAAATTTAATTTAAAAAGAACAAATAAAACACACTCATAGATACAGACAACAGAATGTGGTTACCAGTTTGGAAAGGAGTTAGGGGGAGGATGACGAGGGTGAAAGGGGTTAAATATACGGTGAGAAGAGACTAGACCTTAAGGGGTGAACACACAATGGAGTACATAGATGTTGTTGTTAAAGGTGAACACATTAAACTTATACAATAGTATTAACCAATGTTACCCAAATCCTATATAATAAAGAGATAATATGCAAATTGACCATCACTCCAACACACAAGATAGCTGCCCCCATGTGGACACAAGATGGCTACCACAAGATGGCAGTTAAGGGCAATTGGGCCGAAAAGGTAGCTGTTAGGTATCTATCAGGCTGGCAGGGGAGTGGTTAGGGGTGATCAGGCTGACAGGCAGAAACGGTTAGGGGCAATCAGGAAGGCAGGCGAGCAGTTGGAGCCAGCAGTACTGAATTGTGTGTGAGAGGAATGTCTGATTGCCCGTTTAGGCCTGATCCCTGTGGGACATATCTTAAGGGGTCCCAGATTAGAGAGGGTGCAAACTGGGTTGAGGGACACCCCCCTGTGCACGAATATCATGCACAGGGCCTCTAATAGATTTAATAAAAATGAAAATGAAAGTATAATAGAAATAAAATAAATTTTAAAATAATATTGAAACAAAAAAATAACTCGTTTTCTAAATCCTCTAATTTCTGGTTCTCTTTTCTCCCCTTCATAGTCAAACTTCTCAGGAATTAGCTCAATTATTGTCTCCACTAGAGGCCCAGCCTGTTCACCCCTAACCGCCCTCTGCCTGCTGGCCTGATCACTCCTCACTGTCCCTCCTGCTGGCCTGGTTTCCCCTTATTGCCCCCTTGCTGGCTTAATTGCCTCCAACTGCCCCCCGGACTGGCTTGGTTGCACCCAACTGCCCCCTCCCCTGCTGGCCTGGTTGCCCCATGCAGCCTGCTGTTCAGTTGTTTGGTTGTCCCTCACTAATCCCCTGCCGGCCTCGCTGCCCCACATAGCCTTCTGTTCTGCTGTTTGACCATCTCTCACTAACCGCCCCCTTCCAGCCTGGTTGTCTCATGCAGCCTGCTGTTTGGTATCCATCTGGTCATTTAGGTCATGATAGTCCCTGGCTTTTTATATATTAGTATCATTACACCTGCCACTCATACTTCAAACCACCCCACTCTAACTCCAGCATTTAGAATTACATTAAAACAGATGATGAAGACTTAATGTTACTAAATTCAAAAACGTTTGTATTCTTCAAATTATTTAAACATTTCAAAATGCAAAACTGTTAATGCCACATATCTGATTTTGATGGCTTCACATTGCTTTAAGGATGAAGACCAAGATACTCAACATGTCCTGAAAGTTGGTTTAAAAGTTCCTGCACATGCTGCCAAAACCGTTTTTGGCTCAGTGGTAGAGCGTTGGTCTGCGGACTGAAAGGTCCCAGGTTCGATTCTGGTCAGGGGCATGTACGTTGGTTGTGGGCACATCCCCGGTAGGGGGTGTGCAAGAGGCAGCTGGTCGATGTTTCTCTCTCATTGACGTTTCTAGCGCGCGTTCTCTCTCTCTCTCTCTCTCTCTCTCGCCCTTCCTCTCTGTAAAAAATCAATAAAATATATTAAAAAAAAATAAAAATAAAAAAATAAAAGTTCCTGCACATGCTGAAACCAGTTTGGCTCAGTGGATAGAGCATTGGTCTGCGGACTGAAGGGTCCCAGGTTCGATTCCAGTCAAGGGCATGTACATTGGTTGCGGGCACATCCCTGGTGGGGAGTGTGCAGGAGGCAGCTGGTCGATGTTTCTCTCTCATCGACGTTTCTAGCTCTCAATCTCTCTTCCTTCCTCTCTGTAGAAAATCAATAGAATATATTTTAATTAAAAAAAAATAAAATAAAAGTTCCTGCACAGTGTGGCCCTTGCTTTTCTCTCTGACTCTAATCTTACTTAGTCACTGAAGTTCAGGAACACTTGCATTCTTTTAGCATTCTGAATGGGTGAAAATGTTGTTGCATATGTTATAAATTCTTGACTACTTTATCACTTTTCTCTCCCTAGTTAACCAGTATTCATTCTTTAAGTTCCACCTTTCTGGAATTATCAGGATCATACTATTATAGAAACCTGGACTTCTCTTTTCCAGAACTAGTCACAACGTAATTAATTAATACTGTAATCAGCTAATTATCTTCCACACAAAAATAAAAGCACCACAAGGGTAGAAAACATGTCTGTCTTATTCACTTACATTCCTAGTAGCAAGTATGATGTCTTGCACATAATAGGAATTCAAACTGTACAAACAAGATATGAAAAGTCACTGATCACAGGGATATATTCACAAAGTATAATTGTAATCTGGAAATACAAACCTTATTGTTAAGCCTCCTGGAAATTCTTCATCAAATAAGACCTCAAATAGGACATCAGCTTCTCTATTAGCTGTTAAAAAGAGAGAGAGAAAAATTATATGATAAAAAATCAGCCATTAAAACTACCACAAAAAAAAAAAATGATTTAGGAGAATACAGACAGTAAATGAAAAGTAAATAAGCTTACAGATTATTTACTTGTTATTTAAAGTAAAAACAATATTTTAAATCAGATGCAGTGGGGAATATACTTTTCTCTCTGCTTTTGTACATGTTTGAAATGACCCATAATAAGAGAGTTAATTAGATATAACTTTAGAGTTTGTTGTCTAAAAGTTCTTCCAGTGAGACAAAAGACAATGAAATTTTGAAAACATGGTAGGAATTGAGAGTAGAATGGAAAGAAAAAATATATTATTAGATAGAATTGGCAGGATTTGTGACCTATGTGGATAAAAAGGATGGAGATGCCAACAATGATTCCAAGGTTCTGGCTGATAATGACTTGGGAGATTATAGACATCATAATTTGAGACATGAGACTCAGGACAAAGATAGTGAATAAACTTAGGTTCAAAAAACTTAGGAGCAGAGAAGGACAAACTTGGGAGAGAGCATGAAAGATATATCTGTAAAGATTAAATTTACCCAGAATGCCAAGGTAAAGTGAAATAGTTATAATAACACAGTCTATCACATAACTTTAGAATTGACTCTCCCTCATCCATCTCTATTTCTCTGACAATCACAATTTCTAATACTACATTAGTTTCTGGAATGGGTCAGAGGATGTCTCCCTGACCCCCAGTCTCTCATTGCTAACTGAAACCAGGCCTGCAGAACTCATCCTTTTGTACCTTTTATCTAAAAGGTACACTTTTATCTAAAATCTAAACTCAAGAAGGTCCACTTTCTTAGAGTCAATTTCTAGTCTGTGGGAGGGGCCACTCCTTCAAAAAAATGATTGACATTTATTCATCCCTTTAGTGGAGTTGACTATGGAGATGAAATCTCAAATGAGGGCAGTAAAAATAAATATTCTCCTTTCTATTCCATGCCCATGGCAGACATGGCTAATCAATCACAGAGCTCCTTTCCACTCAGGATAGATGTAGCTTTAAAACCCTTTAAGACAAAATTCTAAGCTGTCACTGTTACTGACAGGAGTTCTCAGAAGAAAGGCAACTTCCATGTTATCAGATTCCTAAGGTCTTTATCAGGACAACCTAACTACAATCCAATAAACTCCATGTCTAAAAAGCTGATGCAGGGGGTTGAGCAGATAGCAGCAGGAGGGCTGCTTCATTACACCCATTTGACCTTTACCACACCTAGCCCTGACCTTCCTCTCTCCGTTTCAAGCAGCCAGAAATACATTCAAGAAATTATTTTTTAAAAATTCAGAAAAGAGAATTCTCTTTTAGAGTCAAGTAAGCAGAAAAGATCCCCAGAAGATGTGAAGATGAAAAATGTGAAGAACCACACTGCTCAAAGTTAGTTAAGAATGAGGGAAACAGTTCAAATCCCAGCTCTGCCACTCATCTGTGTAAAGGCAGGTGAGTTACTTAACAGCACAGGTGAGAAATAACACTTGAGAGTTAAATGCAAAATGCAAAAGTGCCTGGCTGCCTGGGACATGGAGCAGCATGACCCCTGGGCACCTGCTTTATGCTGGGTTGACTCTTTCTGGCATCTCTGCTGCAAAGCTGCTTAGTACAGACTTCTCTTTCAGACATACTGAAATCTTAGGCTGCTTCTTCCCTTTTCTTAGAACTTTCTAATTTTTTATTTTTATTTTTGGTAAAAACCACGACATAAAGTTATCATCTTAACTACTTTTAAGTATATAGTACAGAAGATTACCTATAAGCACACTGTACAACAGATTGATAGGTCTGTTTTATATTCATGAATACAAATGAATATGAATAATTAAAATCTTTAACTGTGAGTTCACCCTTCATGTTTATTTCTCCACAGAAATCAAGATATTGCAATGATAATTGAGGTAAACTTCAGAGCAAAACTAGATGAAAGCCTAACTTAAGAGAAATGATGAAACTTTTCTGTTTCATGAAAATGTGTGCATACCCAACTAAGATCTTGTAGTATAATTTTAATGTGTTATATACAAGCTACCACATTTTCATCAGTCTTTTCTCAACTTTCCCTTCTTTTAATCACTTCCAAGATAATTACACAAGACAGAAAACAAAATTTTCTCTGAAAACTAAAACAACAAAATGAACTAAAACATAAAAAGATTTAGTTTTTTTCCTAACTTATAGTCATTCTCTGCTTAGATATGACACAGAAATTTGTGCTTTACTCTACAATAAAATGTAGCTGACAACTCGCCCAGTATTGAGTTATTACCTCCTTTAATTCCTATGATGGTGCCCCGAAGGCCAACTGGCACCGAGAAGTCCTCTCTCACATTCACAACCCGGTCAAAGAGACGAAACTCTGCATCCCGATCAGGAATGACTCCATGCTGCTGTTCTAAAGGCTGAAGAGAAGAAAGCTCAAACTATTATTATTAACTCTAATTTTAAAGTTTTCTAAATAATATATTGAAACAATTTTGTTTTACTTTCCAAGTAAAAACAACTTTGAATTATTTAACAGAAAACTTACTCTGTACAGCAAATGAGGCTTCACTGTCACCCGTACCTTCTTATTATTCTTTCTTTGCTGAGGAAGTAAACATTTTAAATATTTATATTTGAAGGAGGAATAATAAATAAATTCTTATAGTAAAAAATGTGGTGTAAGACATAGAAAAATGCAAAATTACGTATAACCACACCTAGTTCAAGAGAGACAAAACATTACTAAGCACAACATAAAAACCTCTCAATTCCCTTCCATCCCACCCAGTTACTACCTTTCCCCAAAGTAACCTAACTTCTAACACAAAAGATTAGATATGTCTGTTTTAAACTTTATGTAAATGCTATCCTATTCAAATGCTTTTACTCTAAAAGAAATTATATACAATGGTCAATAAAAACTTTCTTTTTTAAGGTATAAAGTATTGAACTATGACAATATTATATTTTTTTGTGGCTACTTCTAAAAAAGTGGTAGTCATTTAATAAAATCCTTGTTTCTGAAATCTATTATGAAACTGGCTTTGATGTTTACATTTTTTAATCCTCTTAAAAACACTGGAAAACTTAAAAAAATATATTTTATTGATTTTAGAGGGAAGTGTGTGTGTGGGGGAGACAAGAGAAACATCTTGGTGTAAGACATAGAGAAACATCCATTAATTGGCTCCCACACATGAACTGCACTTTTTGGTGTAGAGGAGAGGATGATAGTCCAAACAACAGATCCACACAGCAAGGGCTCGAAGACTTTTGCACTCTCTTTGCTATTTGTTAGGTCTGTCAATTCAAACTTAATTTGAGTGTCAGATTTCTTCCATCTATGAGATGGAAATAATATTACCTGCTTTAGATAATAAAAATGTGAGACTCATTTATACCCATTGCAATCCATAACTATTATTCACATATTTTTTTGAAGTGAATTCTTACTTATAAGAAAAATTACAGCAGTTTACTTACATGGCAGTCACCTATCTTTAGAATATAACTTATGGAAATAAGGACAAAATAGTCCTAGTTACAGAGATACACTAGAGAGGTAATTAAAAAAATATTTTTATTAATTTCAGACAGGGAAAGATAAAAACATCAATGATGAGAGAGAATCAGTGATTGGCTGCCTCCTGCACATCCCTCCACTCTTCCCCTGCCCCCCCGGGGATGAGCCAGCAACCCTGGCATATTCCTTGACCAGGAATCGAATTGTGACCTCCTGATCCATAGGTAGATGCTCAATCACTGAGCCATGCTGGCTGGCCAAGAGGTCATCAGGCAGACGCTCTATCCACTGAGCCAAACAGGTCAGGACAAGATCATATTTTTATATACTGTAAAACACTCAAACCTTTATGAAGCGCCTATTTTCTTTCATTAAAAAATATTTCACTTATTCTTTCAATAAATCTTCATTGAGTTTCATTTATGTACCATATATTGGTTTTGGTGCTGGGGCTGGGATCTATTTTTTTATTCTATTAATAGTTGAGGGAGATATAAGAGAAATAAGTGAGAAAAATATATAGCATGTTCAAAAGTAAAACATAGTGAAAAATAAAGCAGGTAAGGGAGATCAGCAATGTGGGTAAAGATTGTCATTTTAAATAGGGTAAAAAGTGAAGGCCTTATGACAGAATTTCCTATTTCCACACCAGAAGGATACCAGGAGTAAACTGGTATCCACTGACAACAGCAAAAAGGAGAAAGAATAAAGACATTTTAAAACTATTTTAAAAAGCAGACCCAAGAGCTAAGCCTGGAGAAATGCATGTAAAAAAACAAACAAACCCCCATATAATCTAATATATATCTCTAGGCATCCTAATATATAAAAACCATGGGTTATAATGTCCGGTAACGACCGAGGATCAACTAACCGGAGGTCAGTCCTGCAGTGAGTGCTGGGTTGCAACCCACCACTGACTGCTTCCACTGCAGGTGTGGTGACCCAAAACTGACTGATGAGGAGGCTATGAATCAGGGCCAGAGAGAGGCCTGGAGAGAGAAACAGAGACTGATCTGTTGCCTCTGTGGCAGCTTTTGATCAGGACTTGCCTCTCTCTTTCTCTCCCTGTCTGGCCAGCAGCCACACCTCCATTTCTCTCCAGGTCTACACCAGGGCTGCTGATTAGCCCCCTGTTAATAGGCCCAGAGATGCTGACTGGCATAGAAACTGACCAATCAGAACCAAATCTGGCTCAACTGTGAGAAGCCAATGGCTGCCTATGAGGTGGATCTTTTGACTCAGACTGGTATAGAAACTGATCAATCAGAACCAAATTGGCTGGCAAAGGAGGGCAGTTGTGAGCGAGATCAGGCCGTTGGGGGTGAAATCATGCTGGCAGTGGAGGAAAGTTGGGGGCAATCAGGCAGACAGGCAGAGGCAGTTAGGGGCAATCAGGCAGGCAGGCAGGTGAGAAATTAGGAGACAGGAGTTCCAGATAGTCAGAGGGATGTCCGACTGCCTAAAACAGCAGTTGTACATCCTCCAAGGGGTCCCCGATTGGAGAGGGTGCAGACAGGGCTGAGGGAACCCCCACCCTCTGAGCACAAATTTCATGCACCAGGCCACTAATTATTACAAAATAGCACTGATTAGAGGATGTGGCAATTAAACCTGATTCATTAGACAAATTAGTACATTGGGAAACTTTCACAATATACCCCAACCCACAACTACTAAGTGAGAAGTACTGGGGCTTGGCTACTCACATTGTGGTCATCTGCAAGCTGCTTAGAAATGCAGAATCTCAAGCCTAATCCTAGAGTTACTGAATCAAAAGCTGTGTTTTAACAAGATCTTCCATTGACTGTACATTAATTTGAGGAATACTGCTATAAGGGTGTAATCCAGAATGTGTAGTTTTTCAAAAAGCTCTTCTAGTAATTTTGATAATTGTTGAGTTTGGGAATCCAATAAGAAAATTCCTGATACTTTTAATGATAATCCTGCATTATAAAGAAAAGTATAAATTATGTTCAAATTGTTGTATTTTATTTTTTATTTTTTCACCTTTTCTTTAAAAACCTAAAAGGGGGGGAGGGGAGAATCACTCATAACTGTACTTCCTTGTCACATTAACAGGTTTAAAAAATGTCCTCTTATTTAGAATCACATATTTTAAAAAATGTTATAGCCAAAACATTATTCTACAACTTTGTATATGTATATTCTGTTTATAAAATAAGGAAAAACGTGTAAAACATTTTAAAAAGTTCTTCGTCCAATGGGGTTCAAGTAAAATTTGGGGGTTTAAAGTTATGAACATCTGTTAAGTAGAAAACTCAATTCAAAACAATGCTGGACAAAGAGATTTCATTCTACATGAAAGACAATTAAAAAGAAAAGAGAAAGAAATGCAGGCTTACTATCACCTTCAGTAGAATATCAATAACCTCTTTTAAAAAATCAAACTCTTGGCTCTGAGACTTGCATTTTTTTCCTAAAAAGATAGTTATCTAGTGGTGACTTCCCAGACTGTACTCACAGCTCTTGAGTATGTGATAAGAGAGCTCAAATGATAATAATATAATAATAATAATAATAATAATAATAATACCCAAGCATCATTAGGCATTAATAATAGCGAGGCATTATTAGAAGGAGTTTACATGCATCAACTAAATTAATCCTTTTGATGACCCTATGAGGTAGGTACTATTTTATTCTAATTTTACCAATGAGGAAACAAAGTCATTGAAAGGTTAAGTGTCTTGCCTGAGATTATAAGTGTTAAAAGAGGAATGAGGAAGGTGGCTTCAGAGCCCAGTTCTTAACTTACTCTAATATTAAAGTAATATGTTAGCATAGCAACATCATTCTTATAAGAAGGCAAATGTGTGGGAAATAAAAATCATAAGTTAAAAAAATATATGTAATCAATTTTTTATTACATCAAGACAGAGGATCAAAATAGTTGAAATGGTTAGGCCTACACAAAATAATCAGTAACTGAATGAGTTTGTGAGTAGGAAAGTACATTTAGAACTAATTCTGTAAAAGTTAAAAAAAAATTTATGTTCCATAAAAGGATGAACTGTCTTTAAAGAACTTAGAATAGGAAGGAATCGGGATCTCTCAATCACCAGCTTTCTATCAGGGGTCCTCAAACTTTTTAAAGTGGGGGCCAGATCACGGTCCCTCAGAGAGCTGGAGGGCTGGACTATATGAACTACTAATTCCTACTGTAACACCTCGGCTGCGCTCACTGCCCAAAAAACCTGGCGGGCCGGATCAGACTCCTCTGCGGGCCGCATGTGGCCAGCGGGCCGTAGTTTGAAGACGCCTGATTTAGACTAAAGTCACAAAATATTAATTCTTTTGTGCATTTATATTTATTCATATAAATTTATTAATGGCCATTGGAAATATATGGAACATTTTAAAAAATTTTGGGATGCCAAAACTGGTTTGGCTCAGTGGATAGAGCGTTGGCCTGCGGACTGAAGGGTCTCAGATTCGATTCTGGTCAAGGGCATGTACCTGTATGGTGGGCACATCCCCAGTGGGGGGTGTGCAGGAGGCAGCTGATCAATATTTCTCTCTCATTGATGTTTCTAACTATATCCCTCTCTCTTCCTCTCTGTAAAAAAAAAAAATCAATAAAATATATTTAAAAGAAAAAAAAAAAGCCTAGGTGGTCCTCGTGCCTTCATGCAATGCCCTCACCTCATAAGATGGTGGCTATCATGTAATTACAAGATGGCCACCACAATATGGCCGTCACAAGATGGACAGCAGCGGAGGGCAGTTGGGGGTGATGGGGCCAGCAAGGAGGGCAGTTGCGGGTGACTGGGCTGGCAGGGGAGGGCAGTTGGGGGCAAGATAAGGCCAGAGGGGAGGGCAGTTGGGGTGACCAAGCCTGCAGGGGAGGGCAGTTGGGGACCAGCAGGCCAGCAGGGGAACAATTAGGTGTTGATCAGGCCAGTAGGGGAGGGCAGTTGGAGACAATCAGGCAGGCAAGGGAGCAATTAGGCATCAAGAAGGTTGGCAGGAGAGTGGTTAGGGGGCAATTAGACTGTCAGGCAGAAGTGGTTATGGGCAATCATTCAGGTAAGCAGGCGAGCTGTTAGGAGCCAGTGGTCCTATATTGTGAGAGGGATGTCCCAGACTGGAGAGGGTGCAGGTGGGGCTGAGGGACAACCCTCCCTATCCCTTCTTCCCTGTGCACTAATTTTGTGCACTGGGCCTCTCATTTTATATAAATTAGAAACCATTGAACATGTTTTATTTTTATTTTTATTTTTTATTATTATTTTTTGACATGTCAAAAAAGGAAAGTCATTTATTATTATTTTTTTTTAACATATTTTAATGATTTTTTTTTTGCCCCCCTCCCTCCCTCCCCCTGAACATGTTTTAACTGGTTGAAACATAAGTAAATTATTGGTAGAATAATATATAGTTCATTTAACTTCAAATCTCATCAATGTCTTAGTTACTGAAAATTAGTACCTTGTACTTTTCGACTTCTTCCTCAATTTTTTCAACAACAGTTGCATCCAGAATTTGTAAATCACATGAAGAACGAGACAACGTACTGACAGAATGTCCCTTTAGCCAAGTAATAATTTCTTGAACTTTCTCAGCACTACATTAAAAACAGTAATTGTTTTACATTAAAACTTTGTGAGGGCTTATATAGAAGGCCCGATATAAAATATTCTGAGGGTTTTAAAATATAAAAGACATTAAATATGTAATTAAAAATTAACCACTGCATTTGATTTGGAATAATTATAAATCTAATATAAACATGAACATGTTAATTCTCAGTACTATTCTAAAAACCACAAAATTAGTTTAAAAGTACTTTAATATAAATTAAAAATTATATTAAGATCTTTAAGCAAAAGGAAAATAATATAAAACCCTCTCTCCAAAAGTAAATTCCTGATAAACTACTACTGTACCTTTACCAGAACCACTAAGGTGAACTATGAGGAGATAAATGCCACACATGTTGCTTACCCATTCTCATTTGCTCCAGGCCAAATGTCATCTTCATAAAATACATCCTCTTGGCTATTTCTGGCTATATAACTAAAGAGTTCCGGAGCTCTAGCCAAACAAACAAACAAACAAACAAACAAAATACCACTTTAAAAATATACATATGGCAAACTTCACATGAACTTCTGATCAAATAAATTTTGACCCTAAGGGAATATATAAAATATATTGAGGGTTAATTTTATACACAGAGTATTAATAAGGGATAGAGATGAAAATATTTGAAAGTATAGCCCCGCAAAAACCTCGCATTAGCAGAGGGAGAAACGATTCAATTTCTAAACTATAATAAACTTTACTTACATATTAACTTCAATTATTGACTCTGTTCCACTTAGAACATAATGGACAAAAATAATATCTATAGGCGGATTTTCTGATTTTACAACAAAGCTGGAGCATGCCACAGTAAAACAAATTAAGTATATTAAAGGATTCATCTAATATTTCTCAAAACTCCATTGTTTCCTTTATAGTGCAGATTGAAGGTGGGGTGTGTGTTTATGTAGTGAAACTCTTTTCCCTAATTAATTTCTAGAACACTGGAAGTCACTTTTTCTCTTCACGTGTCCTCTAAGAAAAAGGCTGGAGGTCACATCTCTCAGGGAAACTAGCCAGCCTCAAGGAAAAGCTATACATATAATAATTAGTGATATTTGCAGGTCCTCTGCAGAAATAGCCACATCCTACCTTGACAAGTTCCACCAAAACAACTAAATTTCTAATCTGCTTTTTAGTGCCTCACTCTTAAATATGATTGGATACCTATGAACCACCACCCAGTAAAAAATAGCTTTAACATGAAAGGAGAGATGAACAACAACAAAAAGGAAATTTGGAAAAAATCAGGAAATATAAATAAAAAAAGAAACTCTAGAAATATTATCTTTAGAAAAATGAAAGAAGATATTTCACTAATTACAAGAACAAAATATTTAAAAAGGAATGCTAGAAAATAAGGACATACTTTTAAATGAAAAATAAGTTAAATGGGAATGTTCAAGTTATATAAGAGGTAATTGAAGAAGTCTCCCACAGAGTAAAACAAAAGTATAAGAATACAGTATAGAGGGGAGAGGATAAGTTGGTGGTGGTGGCAGTGAAAGAGTGTGAGTGAGTGAAGGAGCGAAAGGGGAGTGTGTGGACATGTGCAGTGTGTGTATGTGAGAGTGAGGGACAGGTAGATCCTGTAGGAATCTTGAGGGCTGGAGGACTGGGCTCTCCTAGTTGGTAAGCCCCTGCTAATGCTGCAAGCCCTCTTGGAGCAGCTGGCTCTAACATAGAAACCATACCACCTTGAAAAAGAAAGCTGCTATGACTAGGAGCCCAACCTCACCACCACCCAGACTGGCCTCAGATACCATCCAGACCCTGCAGCCATTCCAGCCAAAGACCTGCTACCTTATAGACCCACAGACTCTGGGACTCTAGCTTCCCCAGCTGCAGACTCCTGTGAGTCCTGTTTTGCGCTCCCCTCACACCAAACCTACTGCTTCAGCTGTGGGTCCCATGCCACGAGGTACATGGACCCTTTGGTGAGCCTTGGAGTGTGCAACCCTCCTGCCAAGTCCGCTGCTTCAGCCACAGACCCCATGCGACTTGGCAACTGGACCCCTTGGTGAGTCTTGGAGTATGTGCCCCTTCTGCCGAGCCCGCAGCTTCAGCTGCAGGCTGCATGCAACTTGATGCTGTACCCCTTGGTGAGACTTGGAATATGTGCCCCAATGTGAAGCATACCACAGGCTCTCCACCCCACGCACCTCCAAGCATGGACAGAGCTGTCACCTGGCGCATGCACTACCCCCAGCCCAAGTCAGAGGTGCTGGTGCTATCTGGTGTGCCCAGCCACAGGTCACTGGATCATGCTCCATGTGCATGGCCTTGGGTGCCAGGTCTGCAAAGTGAATTGCATGCCGAGGGTTCAAGGCCCCCACAGAGAATCACATACAGGAGAAACTGCATGTGCCCCCACCGACCCCGAGAATATGAAGCGGACCACTGAGAGACCAGAACTGGGGGAAAAGAGGGTACAACTCAGAACAGAGACAATAAAGGTGTAAAACTCAAGGCAGAACCAGCCTCCAGTCTAGGGAGTGCCAGATCATTGAACTGCTAGGGACTTCAATATTTCCCAATCAGGGAGCCCAAGGCAGGAAAGAAACGGTAAAATGGAGGGTGGGGGTAGGGGTGGACACAAAGAAACAACCATCGAAGGGGGGGAAAAAAGGCAGAATAGCCAGAAAAGGAACTAAATGAAATTGAGGCATGCAATATGCCAGACAAAAAATTTAGAATAAGGGTTTTACAGTTCCTATACCAGCTGATTGGGAAAATCAACAATTTATGTAAAAATCAAGAGGAAATCAAGAATAATCTAGTTACAATAAAAAACACAATGGAAGGCTCCTACAATAGACCAGAAGCAGAGGCTCAAATTAGTGAGATAGAAGATAGGGAAGAAAAACACACCCAATCTGAATAGCAATTGGAGGAAAAAAAAAACCTAGAAACATGAAGGAGAGCTTAAGGGAGCTTTAGGACAACATGAAACGAAGTAACATCCATATAATAAGGGTGCCAAAATGACAAGAAGAGGAGCAAAAATTAGAAAACCTATTTAAAAGAATGACGACAGAAAATTTCCCTGATTTGAGGAAGAAAAAGTCACACAAACACAGAGAGTGCCAAACAAGATGAACACAAAAAGACGCACATCGAGACACGTCACAATTACAATGGCAAATATTAAGGATAAAGAGAGAATCTTAAAGGCTGCAAGAGAGAGACAGAGAGTTACATACAAGGGATCTCCCATTAGATTATCAAATGATTTCTCCACAGAAACACATCAGGCTAGAAGGGAATGGAATGAACTATACAGAATGATGCAAAGCAAGGGACTGAATCCAGGAATACTCTATTCAGCAAGGTTATCATTCAAAATTGAAGGGGAAATCAGGAGCTTCACAGACAAAAAAGGCTAATAGATTTTAACACTACCAAGCCAGCAATGCAAAAAATGCTAAAGGGACTGTTGTAAAAAAGTAGAAGTAGAAAGGGTAGAAGGAACACAGGCATAAAGAATAAAATGGCTACAAGCAAGTACCTATCAATAATAATCTTAAATGTAAACAGACTAACTGCTCCAATCAAAAGACATTGAGTGGCTGAATGGATAACAAAGATGACCCATATATATGCCGTGTATAAGAGACCTACCTCAGAGCAAGGGAATCACACAAACTGAAAGTGAAGGGATGGAAAAATATTTGTCAGGCAAATGGAAATGAAAAAGAAAAGAAAAGAAAAAAGGCTGGGGTTGCAATACTTATATACGATAAAATAGACCTCAAAGTGAAGGCCGTAACAAAAGATAAAGGAAGGCACTTCGTAACATTAAAAGGATCAATACAACTTCAGTATCTCAGGTGAACATATATACACTCAATAAAATAACTTTCTGGAAGATATCAAAGGAGAGATCAACAACAATACAATCATAGTAGGGGACTTTAATACACCACTGACATCACTGGATAAATCCTGTAGACAAAAAATCAGCAAAGAAACAGCAATCCTAAATGACTCACTAGATCAAACGGACTTAATCGAGAAAGGTAAGTACCACATGATCTCACTCATTTGTAGAATATAATGAACAACATAAACTGATGAACAAAAATAGATACAGATAAAGAAAAGCATTGAACAGACCGTCAAACTTCAGAGGGAAGAAAGGGATTGGGGGAGGTTAAGAGATCAATCACGAATATAAGCATAAGCAATGGACATAGACCACTAGGAAGGTGAGGGCATATCCTGGGGAATGGGAGTGCCTGGAGAGCAGTCAATGGGGGAAAAAGGAGTAACATATGTAAATATTTTAAATAATAAAGAATTAAAAAAAAAATACACTGTAGAAAATGAATGAGAAGAGATACAGGAAATTAAGGCGATTGATCCAGAAGGTCTAGCTATCATCAGGAGTTCCAGAGAGAATAAAAACAGTATTTTCACACTCTATTTTAGCTAAGGAGCTCTACGACACAAATTTAACTTTCTATGTGCACTACATTAAGACAGTGAAGTAAACACTATGTTCATCTCCCCCTTGACAATTTCCAAATTGCAACTAATTTGTAGAACTAACACTGAAAACTGACTTAAGACTAGCTAAACAGATATACAGAAGAAACCACATCAAGAATGGTAGGAAGGGCCAAGATGTAGAATTGGCTGGTCCCATGTGTGGCATCTAAACACTGGGAAGGGTATCTTGGATGTGGAGGTTCCCCCTGAGTAGTAGGGTATCCCAGTCACACCCTGGACTCCCCTAGACTAGAGATCAGTGTCAGGAAGTAAGTCCTTAAAATTTCTAGCTGTAAAAACCAGTGGAGATAGTGTATGAGTGGAAAGGAGAGCTGTTGGAGTCCTAGGTACTCCTCTTAAAGGGCCTGCACACAGACTTACTGGCTGATGGACTCACTCTGTCTAAGCTCCAGAGCTGAGGCAGCAGATCAAAAGGTGCCAGGACATACTAGGAGGAACTGAATTGTCTATTTCCAGGGTGAGAGCTGGCATACACCAATGTACCTTTGCTGAGTCTTCTGCCACCCAGCCCAAAGGTGCAGGCTGAAGTGCTCACAGGAGCCACTGTTTCTTTGTTGAGCCATCCCTACCCAGTTGGCAGGCACAGAGAGGCATCAAATCTGAATGACCGATAACTTGGGTAATACAGTTGGCCCCTGCCCTGATGACTCCCTGAGGCCATACCTACCCAATTTGCAACAGGTTATAACCTTTTTAGGCTCCAGTTACACAAAATTGGCTGATCTTAGACAGCACTGGAGCACTTCCCAAGAGGCCCCAAAACTAACACCTGTTGGTAGGCTTCAGATTACACCAGTACCACCTAATCAACTCCACAAATGACACAGTCTAAAAGAGAACTAGGTAGGCACCAGAGCACTGTTACAGTAAATTCTGGTACCTATAGTTAGCCCCTACACAGCAGCTCATCAGGTATAGTTACAGCCATTCCTCACAGC